AATCTTGACTGTCTTTGTCGGCTTTCGATTCTTACTTCCTCCCCTCCCACCACCACCACCACCACCTCTTCCCTTTTCCGCCTCTTCATCTAATGCGTGTGCTAGGAGCGGACACACGACGAGGAGCAATTAAGAGCGGATAAGACCACCATTCCGGAAGAAAAGCGATAGCTGGTAGAGTTGATAGAGGTTTGTAGATACCCTGAGTGAATCATCGCTTTGCCGGTCCAAAGAACCCAGTTATTTATCACCAGACGATCACCTGTATCCTACTGGAGGAGATCCCATGAGATGAACCTGACTCCCCGAGTAGGTGTGGCCATGATGGTGGGGAGTGGTAGGCCTCGATGTATACCCAACCGAAGGAGTCGCTGCCTGTGGTACTTCATTCATCTGATTAAACGTGTATCCCATCCCTCCCTGTCCGTATGGTTGATTAAAGTAGTCTTGCGCTTCTCCCTGTTTCTCTGGGATCTGGTAAGGCGAGGCTGGTGTGGTCTGATAGTTGGGGGCGAACGGTGAAGGATGCGTCTGCGTAAACTCTCCTTTCTCGACATCGGCACCCGCAGCGGGTGTAATAATAATGCCACCACTACCGTCATCCGTGTCTTTCACTGCAGCAGCTGCAGCACGATTGGCAGCCTTTCTTTGAGCTGTGAACTGTCGTTTCCCATAGATATTAGCACGCTTTTGACGCTGATCGTACCACCCAAAGCATTTGTAAAAGCATTTGAGGATGAAACCGATGCAGCAAAGCACGAGGAGTCCAACAATGACTAGAGAAGGAGTGGTATCAGCTTATAGTCGTTCAAGCAAGAGAAAGAGAGAGAGAGAGGTGACTTGAAAATGTCATCAAAGGAAAGGGATCTTGAGCTGAGAGCACAAGAGGCAAAGTGCAAGAAAGGGAATATACGAACCGCCGACTACAACCACAACCCATAATGGTAGAGAAAAGGGACCGATGCCAACCATCTTTACCGTGTCTCGTTGACTACTACCGCTCCCACCACCACCCTCACGGCCACCTCCACGACCACCTTTGGCCAAGGGGTCGTCGTCGAAGGGGTGGGCATTCGCGAATAGTGGACCCAAGAAGATGAAGGGCATCAAAATTCTATAGCACGAACTTCTGAGAGATATCATATTGAAGGGTGCGGAAATGATAGGAGATTTGGTAAGAGAGCGTGTTGGGTAGGTGTGAAAAGATGGAAGAGAGAGGAGAGCCTGTCCGTCCGTCTTTAAACCACGACACGACGAGCTGTGAGAGGGAGACGGTCAGTCCAGAACACTGAAAACAAGTCTCTCAAGGCTCTTATAACGGGCCAACCTTTCATGGTAAAGAGAAAGTCGTCGGGTTTTGGGCCTTTTATACAGTTGGTCGACTCGCGTGCCGAATAAGGATTAGACGCCATTTTCCCGGTGGGCCCAAATCTACCAGTTCGGGTGTAGTAAAGTCGACGCCTATCGATATTAATTCATCACTATTGTAGACATCTGATCGTGCTCGTCGTGTCATGTACGTAGAAGGAGCAGCAATAAACCTCAGTATAGCCAACGACGAGAGCCTTCCGTTACATCAAAATTCTCGACAGATCATATGACTACTGTTCTCATCCGCTAAGATTGACCCGACAATTCCTGCTTCAGGGACAGGCCGCACGGTATCGGGAACCGGCTTTCATCGAATATCATCAACGCCACTCGCCATCCACACAAATATGCCCTAAACAGGGACCCGTACCTTCTCATCTCACAGCCCTGTGTGTCAACTACGTCGTTCGTATTTTGAAGGCAGTGAAGCGGGATTCGAGCGAGTCCACCGTCAACCGCTTACCTAATCCTCACGTGCCGACATTTGAATGAATGGCGTGCAGCCAAACTCCCCTGTGCCAAGCCAAACAACTCGCCTACCTGCACCGCTTGAATTCACTTATTGCATACTGCCCTTTATTGCTGGCTAGGGCTTCATCTCCGCTACTACTCCATTGGAGAGAGCGTTTTTTGTGGATTGTTTGTTCGGTACCGGCCGGTCATCTCATTGGATTTCGGGCATGTCTTTGAGAGGCGCCTATTTATATCCTGTAGCGATATAAAATGTGCAGGTTTTTGTGATGGTGGAACGGTGCAGCTGTCCCCTTTCGTTCTGCCCCCCAGTCCTCGAGCCCGCTAGGACCAACTCCACCGTGCCCATCCTTTACGTCTCTTTTAACGCGTCCAAAGACCCAGATGTTCAGCTTCAAAGGGATTCGTGGCACCTTGATCCTCTTGCTCCTCCTCGTCGTGTGTCCGCTCCTAGCACACGCATTAGATGAAGAGGCGGAAAAAGGGAAGAGGTGGTGGTGGTGGTGGTGGGAGGGGAGGAAGTAAGAATCGAAAGCCGACAAAGACAGTCAAGATTGGGAAATGGAATGCCCCGCTATGGGCCGTCATCCTCATCCCCAGTACGTACACGTCTCGCTACTGATAACCCCCATCATCTATTTTATCTTTTTTTCGCTTCCCTTTCGTGACCTTGGCACCGATTCGTTTCCCTTCTTATGATCTCTGCAAGTCCCTCCCGCTCACATATTTCCCTCAGTTTTTGTCGCGCTCGGTGTTTATGGGTGGTGCCACACCTGCTACAAACGCTGCTACAAAGGCAAAAAGAACACACGCGAGATGAGCCAATCCAACCTCGAAGCTCAACATCAACCAGCCACCCAACAACAAACACCCCAGTACCCACAATTCTTCGTGTTCGAAATCCCGCCTGCAGCGCCTTACCAGACTCAGGGGTCGTACGAAAAGGTGGCGAGTGGTGGTGGTGGTGGTGGTGGGGAGGCGGAAAAGTTTTATACGCAGCAGCCTGCGTTGCCTAACCAGCCCCCGACTCAACCGTACAATCCGTATAACTCACAAGGGATGGGGTACCCTGTACCTGGACAAGGGTATAATAATAATGCGCCCGTGGGGTATCCCATGGGCGGTCAACGCTAACTCTCCTTTTTCAATGTCAAGGGTGTTTATGAACGAGATGACTCGTCGAATGGACTTTTTCATGAAATTCAAAAGGACTTTTGATTATGGACTACTTTTCGTTATGTACTATACTCGCATGTACGATGGACCTTTTCGCTAGAAGACTTGTAGGGTCGCCACCTATAGTTTACAAATTCACCAAATTCCCAGTCATCTGTGCCAAGACAAAGCCGTCTCTAAAACGAATGAGTTGGCCTACACGAGTCGGCCTACTCTCTAGTTATCGAGTCAACACGGGAGTGGTCCACACTTCAATTGGCATCCAGCGACGTTGCGACTCACTACGCACAATCAACCTGTCCTAATCCGGGATCGTATCCAAGAGTCATTACAACGAGAGGCGATGATAAAAAGGAATATAGGCAATCCAGAAGAATCGATCACCGGATTCTTTACCGAGCCAATCAATTCTACGTACATGACACGACGAGCACGATCAGATGTCTACAATAGTGATGAATTAATATCGATAGGCGTCGACTTTA